ATGCGGAAAAAAGTAAGGAAACAAGAAGGTACTTGCAAACTGGTGTGGTAAGAAGTCCTACACCACTGCAAGAAGATTACTACCCAAAAGCATAGCAAGTTATCCTCACAGCCAACTATGATAGCACTATATAAAGCCTTTTTTTATGCAGTGAGTGTAGGATTTCTTACCAGACCAGTTTGCACGTACCTTCTTGTTTCCTTACTTTTTTCCTCGTTCAATCCTATTTTCCCATTTTTAATGTTTTTTATGTACTTGTTTAATTAAAATGGATTCATCTTCGAAAGACATTTTTAATCCTAGCATAATTGAAGACTTTTATCCAATGAGACCACATAACATGGAAGATGTATCTCTTTACGAATTTGTTGCTAATTACAAATTTGATAAAATAGGAGGAAATGGAGAAAGAAACTACAAACTTTGATCAAAGCCAGCCCTTCCAAACCATAGGAAAATTAATCCTATGCAAGAAGCAGAAAATGACAATATTTATTACTCGCTAACATTTATATTTGTGCCTTTTAGAGATGAGAGCACACTCGTAATGAAAGGAGAAACAATGGAAGAAGCTTTTAGGCATCACAGAGAAGTATCTACACATGGCATTGGGAATCATTTCAACAAACTACAGAAATTATTAGAAGCAGAATGTAATTGGAAGAAAATAGTCGATGCAAGAAATAAAGCTGGTTTCACTAAAGAACTTCCTGATAACAAGGAAGATGATGAGCGTCAATTACTGGTGAAATAATGAAAGCAGTAGCTGATATTGCTGACATGCATGTAAATGTACCTAATTTAACATTAGAGCAAAAAGAGGCAATGCTTAATGCAGATGAAAAAGAATATTTGATAAATTAAGACTCATATAAGTCAAAAAGAACGTGAAGAGTTATTAGAGAATGAGTCTTCAAGACTACTTAGATTACATAATATCAAACCGCTAAGGATGTTTATTAGTGGTGTAGGTGGAACTGGTAAATCATTTTTAATAGAGGCAATGAAATGCCTAGTTCATGACATATGACATCCAAAAAGTGGCAAAATTATGTGTGCTATAGTAGCACCAACAGGTATAGCTGCATTTAATGTAGGCAGACAAACAATACATAGATTATTTCAGCTACCAACAAAGCATGAGGGAAAGACAGCTGGATATTGGGCTTTGAATAAAGAAGCTCAGAAAAGGATGAAAATGACACTTAAAAATTTAAAAAGTATAATACCAGACGAGGTATCTATGGTATCCAATCTAAATCTAGCATACTTACACAAGTGCTTAGAAAATATATTTGGAACTGATGATTGGTTAGGATCCAAAAGTATTTTATTTGTAGGTGACCTCCTACAATTGCCACCAGTTAATGGCAGACCAGTATTTAAAAAATTTGCAACAAACTAGTAAAAACTAGACTTGGAGCAGCAAATGCAGTTAACAAATTGAAAGAAACAGTAGAATATGATGAACTAACAATGAATGAGCGACAAAAAGGAAACGAAACTTTTAAGATACTTGATTTTGTAGGCATGGCTGTCTGACTTATGAAACTATTGACACGCTTAAGAGTCGCGTATTTAAGGTTTCAATGCAAGAAAAATATAAACAATTGCAAAGTGAAGGAACAAATCCTCTAATTTGCCTATTTTCTAGGGGTGGGTGATATTGCAAAATGTTGTTTTGATACGATAATATTGATATATCGGTCATTTTTAGTTGATATTGATATAAATTCGATATGATATTGAGACACCCATTAATTAATTCAAATTAACAGTTATAAGTTTTAATAAGATAATGACTAGGGGATGGGGAACTATAGACTAGCTACGGAAAGAGTAGCTATAGAGAGAGATAGCTACATAGCTATAGGGAAAGAGTATTATTGCTCGGAGGCTATTGGTTCTTGTTG